GGGAGTTGAAGTCCACACATCTTCAAGGTGCCAAGGTTAAGAAATACTGATCTAGAGAAATGTAAAAGGAAATGTATGCCCGTTCTTGGGCTTAACTTTTAAAATTAAACTCCTAAACTAACATAGAAATGAGTAAAGGTAAAGAAGTTAAAAATTTAGCAAATCTAAGAGATTTATTTATCTCTATTTCTATAGATGTAGTTCTCCAGTGAGAAATACATTTGAAAAAGAAGTTTTGATGGGAAAACGTACTGTATTTCAAAATATTTTTTTTTTCAGGAAAGGATATTTTAAACTCTTTAGGATAAAAAAAAAGTCAAATCCATAATTAAAATGACAGAAAATGTACATTTAAAATAAAAGCAGATGTAGGAAATAAAACAGACGAGAAGCAGACGTGAACAGGGAACAATTACTCCAGGCGTCATAATGTGCTTTAGAACTGGGCACTCCTCCCTAACACGCTTGCAAGAAATCATCTGGACTGCTTAAAGTGTACAAATGAGCTCTGAAGATTAACTACTATAGTTTTAGTAGCTACTCAGATGCTACAAGGAGGAATAAATGGTTTTTCCTTTCCCTACTCTTCTTTTTTTAAACACGCCTGGAGATAGGAGGATGTTGTCTCCATTGTGTTAAAAAAGAAACCCCAGAGCTTCAGACAATTTCCAAATGACAGTTTCATGTGTACATTTGAGTTGGCCTCCTGATTAAAAAATCAGTTTGGGTAATGGATTTGTCAGGGTGAACATGGAAAAAGCTAGCTATGCAAAACAGGTTAAAACTAAAATTAGTTGCAGGTTATCATATGACTTCCACTTTCACATCCTCTATTTTAAATTGTTTAAAAAAAGCAAAATGTTTTGAGATGAGTGATGGAGAAACAGATTACCATGGCGTCATTGGGCAATTAGAGTTTCTAATCCACTGGAGCGGTCTAAAATATAAGCATTGAGTACTGATATTTATCTACCATTGAGTGTGAAACCATACTTCCTTTTCCTTGATGTGAATCTTCGGCTTGCATTGTTTGTGAGAAATGGCTGGGTTGTTGTAGGCAAATCTTGTGGCTTCACACCATTTAAAATACATGCGATATTCGCATTAATTGGCAAACGTTAGCACAGTTTTGTCTTTGGATGTTCTATGGAAGTTTTCGTTTGATTTTTCATTCTTTTGTTCTGAGCTGTTGAACTTTTCCTGCACGGAGCTGATGGTGTCTTCTGATTGCAAGGATTTGAATGCACATCAGAGTGCTAAGACTATCTTAAATAATCTGAAATCATAGGAACAATGCTTGCAAAATTATGGCCTGTTCAAGGCCATTGTTGCCCTAGCACTGTCTTGACATGTGTTCAGAGAAAATACCAGTGGAAATGCTTTTCCACTTTACAATGAGTCATTTTTTTCTGATTGAATGTCTATCTATGTCCAATAGAACATATTGCTGCAGAACAAACTCTTTCACACACATACCCCATGGGAAAAGTGATGAAAGTTTTGGCAGTTTTTCTCAGGCTGGTTTTGAAGATGTCTTCAAGAGACAGTGTGTGAGTATTTGGGGAGGACGTTAGCTGTCTGGCCTCCTTTCTCCAAGCCTGATTGTGCAGAACTAATTAAGGAATATGAGTATTTGAATGCAGATGGCATCAACCTTCAGAGGACCTCTGAATGCAGATGCCATTCCTCCCAACATTTTGTCACTTTTAGATGGCTATTGAGCTGAAATGCACATCTCCATTGAAATGTTGCCACTGCTAGCCATGCATCACTATGATGCATGCACTGCCCTAAACCACAAGGTTTTTTGACATAGTGATTGGCTTCACACAGCACACTAGATTAGCTAATCTGATAATGGGTAGTTTGGGGGTATAATGTGGGAACCATGTTATTGCCTTAGCATGTGTATGAACCAAACCAATGTTAAGCTATGATATGGGGCATAGCATGTTTTCTGAGCCCAATCACCATGGCTTATTCATAAACCATGATTTAGCAAAAGGCATGGAAGTGACCTTAGAATAAGGCAAGATTCCTTTTGACTGTACCTAGCCTGGGAGCAATGGTACTATCAGCACAATATGGTTCACTGGTCCCATTTCTGTTTATTTATTTGTTTGTTTATTTGTTCAATTTTGTTGGCCATTGCTCTCTCTGAAGGAACTCATTGCTCCAAAGGCACATGCTTTTTCTTCCTTTTTCTATGGAGTCAGACTGAAGTCAACAAAAAGGCTTCATTAGCTACCAGGAATGTCATCTCCTAGCTTGACCTTTCTTGTTGTCTATCACTGTCACACCAAGAGCCTCCTTCTCCTCCAGCCAAACCAAATGTTCCAAAAAACAGCTTATGGTAGCTGCCAATGTTCAAGAGAACTATCAAAAGCAGTGGATTTTCTGGAGAGTGTTCACAGCCATCAAAACTCCCACTATCCACTTGGAAAATGTTTGCATTCTGTAGGGTAGTGTGGATTAAGAACATCCCCATATTATCTGCAGCATCATTCTACTTCTTTGTTTGCTGCAGGAGCGTTAGTGTGACTCTAAGGGGACAGATGAGTCATTTCTACACCCTAGGAATGACCAAATGCTGCAATGGGCAGGCAGTAGAAATCCTAGCCAGGATAACTTGACAAACTGTATTTCTAATCTTGGAAAAGAAGGCGATTGGGGCGTTCTCTTACCAGAGTAGTGGTTTACGAGGTCCTCAAGGCACTGAAATGTTTGCCGAGGGGAGATATAATACCAATTGTTTGGCAAGCGGAAGATTCTGTAATGTTTCACGTCCACATGCCGGACTGACAACGAATAAAAACCTGGAGGAAAAGAGAAGTTGCAATAGTTAAATCAAACACCCAAAGAGCCACCCTTAGATGTTGAGCTCTAATTCCTATCTGCCCCAGGCAGCCTGGCCAACGATGAGAGTTGCGGCTCAGGTGCATAGAGAAAGCCACTCATTCCTCATCCTGGCTTATGGGAAAGCAGATCAGGGTTCCCTAACTGGCTTTTTCTTACCATTCGTCGTTTCACTTTTTCTAATCATGAAGGAGCCAACTTTGTTATTCGGAAGGAGCAGAAGTTCTTCGGCTTTTTCTCTGCCTATACCTTCAAATAACCAGCTGCAGGAAGAACAAAGGAGAAATATGTCAGAATTATGCAGGGGGAAAGGAAACCAGTTTTGCTCACCAACGTGCACAATAAGCTCAGGAAATCCAGTTAAGGTGTCTATGGAAATATTCTTTATTTTTTTACAAAGCTGGATTTCCCATCCAGTAGCTGATTGCTAGTTATTAGAGAGAGAGTGGAAAATGTAATTGATGTACGTGTCACACTCATATAAATATGACTATAGAAGTGGGCATTTTCAACATGTGCGTGTACTTGTCTGTGTAAGCACAGCTATGCATGGGGAAATTCCTTACCCGTGGTAAACTCTGGCAACACATTTTTCCGGAATATAATTTTCTTTTCCTGTAGTGAGGGAGCAAGCTTTCCACCAGGCACCCTCGCTGCAAAAGTGAAAAGAGGAAGCAGCTGTCATAGGCATGGCAAAAACAGTCACCATGAACAAACTGTGTTAGAACTGGTCTCAACAGCAACCCCCCGGGCCGTCAGCCATGAGAATGCAGATGAAGGTTCATCAACAGTGAATTGGGTGGACTTCCCCTTTCTACCTGAGGGTGGTGGTTGTTAGTTTTTTAATGAAACTTTTTGACTTAAAAGTTAATCAGGCTTCCTGTTTCCAGATGAGGTAATGTCTCTCCTCCCACCCCATCCAGAAAAACATTGGCATCCAGAAATACGTTCCCATCAAACTCTTGGTTTCTGCCACTGAGATGCAATGTACAGCTCAGTTTTCGGTCTCAAAGGAAGTTTTCTTCCCTGTGATAAATCTTAGAAGTTTTTAATTGTTTTGTCTTACATCAGCTTTCTCCAACTGAGTGCCCCCCTAGGGCCATGCAAAAGTCCAAGTGGATGCTTCAGTTTGATGAAAGTTCATGCAAAGCATCTCTTCAGAAAAACATGGTCCCTCTTCTAAAAGCAAGGGCCTGTCCAAGACATTTCTGCAGAGATGCAGTGCATATACAGAAATCCCTTCTAGTTTCAAGGCCTTTTAGACAAGGCCCTTAAAGTGTCTCAAGGAGATAAATCGTCTGATCTCAGTATCCCTAATGACTAACCTATGTGGCCAAAGGTTCATTTAGGTTGTAGATAATGGGACTTGAAATCCAACACATCCTGGAGGACAACCAGTTGAAGAAGTTGCCTTAGCTCTTACTCTGTCCTTAAGCATTTCCACTCCCTTCTTCATAGTGCATGTTATGGACAGAATTGTTCATAGGGCAATGATTTAACTTTATGTGTCAATAGTGAATTAAACCATTAGATGTTTTGAAAAGGGCGTGTGATGGTTATGAGGCTATGCAACCAAGCCCTGCTATGATACACAAATTGGAAGCGCCTTCTGCAAGTGTGAAGAGCCTCCCTCTGCATGCACTTCTCTTTCATGCTCTGGGTTTTCCATCTGAGGCAATCCCATCTCGTTCAGAGGAGCTTCTTTGCATATGCAAACTAAGCCCCTCCGATCGTTTTTGTCCTCCCAGTGAGATTGAGCAGCGTGGGTGAACTCCAGGTCCCCTCGGTGTCATCTATCGGGACCTAGGCAGCACACTTTCTCTGTTGCAATGCCTGCGCTCTGGAACAGCGTTCCCCCAGAGATTTGTGTGGCCCCAAATCTGCAGCTGTTCCAGAAGTCATTAAAAACATAGCTTTGCTCCCAGCCTGGAGCTAAAATGGATGCTGAGCCTTTGTTAGTTTTGCTGGTTTGGGTTGTTTGGTTGTTTTACTCTTCTGGATGCACATGTTTTTTTCATTGTGTGTGTGTGTGTGTGTTTCCTTTGTGTGCATTGTAAGCCATAAAATAGACGAGGTGTGCACTAGCCCTACAGTCTGGAATATTGATGCAGTCTTGTGGCTGTTCTTTAATTCGATACGTGATTTTTTTTTAGGAAGTTTAGCACCTTTTAAAACAGTCCTAGGAGCACCTTGGTTTTTTAAACTTGGTTGAACCTATTCTTTCCCTACCTCTCCACCCCGATGCCTGGAACTGACATCTGACAGTTATACAAGAGACTATGTTGCAAAATGTAATCCATGACATAGAAATGCCAGGGTGATAAAATAAACAGATGGTATGTTGCCCTTCACAGAACGAAACAAATTGTACAGCAAACTGAGTAGCATCATAGTTAAGGTGTTGGACCACAATGCTGGCTGGGGAATTCTGGGAGTTGAAGTCCACCTGTCTTAAAGTTGACCTGGTTGAGAAACACTGTCATAGGGTGTTTTTGTGGGGAAAAGTGTGAGAACAGTGTGCTATGTTCACCTTGAACTTCTGAAGGAAAGATGGGGTATAAACCTAACCAATAAGTAAGTAAAAAATAATAAAAGAGCAGGCAGAAAGATATAAAATATCGTAATAAAGCATTTAAAAGTAATAAAGCAAATAAAGTAATAAAGCATTTTAAAATTAAGGAGTAGAATCACAGAGTCAGAAAGCACTTTGGATGCTTCTAGTCCCAGAAGCTAGATGTGGAATATATCCCGTGATTTGGGTCCCCCCCCCCGAAAACTTTTCCAGTTGCCTTAAACTGACTGAGACAGGCATATTTATCATAGTATTTAGGAGGTAAAATTAAGGAACTATTGTTAGTTTTACAGGCTTTATAAATATCTCCGAAACAATTGGTCAACGCGTCTGAACTGAAATCTCCAATGAGGTGGAAACATTCTATAAAATGTGCCTAATATGATTTATATGTCTGACTGAAAGCCATCAACTTTACTTTGGGAAGGATGTATAAATATCATGTTTAGGAGGACCCAGAAACATAGATTAGATGAAGGCAGTAACGGGGGAACGTACTAATTTTAGCAAATCCCAGAACTGTAGGGTCTGTGTGCGTTAGTCAGAGTTTTGAACCTTTTGACCCACAATATCATCATGGAAATGTAAGAGCAGGCGCTTAAAGGACGTATGATGGATCCCATTTCTGTCATTCGCCTAATAGGAAACAGCGATGTGGTTTGATGCCCTACAGCTGGAGAGGGCCACAGCTGTATTCTGCAAGCTCTCATAACATTTGTAATGTAGGCCAGAGCAGAGCCTAACAGGAAGAGGGACGTTCCATCATGCCTTGACTGTCACATTCGTCAGTTATGAGCTCAGAGGCTTGACTGGTACACACGAGGTGCACTGCAGCAAAAAATATTTATTTTTGGCCTGGTTTATGAAAAAACAATCCACCAACAGCATTCCTAGTCACCTGCTTTGAAACACCTGAGTGGAGAAAAACGGGTGCTTTCCTGGCAATTTACACAAGGGTGATGGACTGTTTCCTATTTGCACACAGGAAAGATGACTTTCGCCCCCTTGTCTGTTTCTAATATAGAAGAAAAGAGGAGGGAAATTTGTTGGAAATCACCTATACTAATTGCCATTTGTGGTGTTAGGAAAGAAGACATT